ATGTACAATCGATGGATACACATTTTTTTAATCTGAGTAAAATAATAGCATAACTTTAGTATTCAGTCTACTTTAATTAAAACTTATGCATTCTCAATTGGATAAATACACCGGGGAAAAGAAGATACCGTGACATAGTATTTAACACAATTAAAATMGTTTTACGAAATTGGTAGTTGAAAATTGATTTAAAAAACTAAAATCAAATTAAAAATAATGTTATTTATTTATTTGCTTAATTTATTTTAAAATGTTTAGATCAAATTATCGTTGAATGAAAGCCACAAATACCTTTAGTTTTTGGTTTTTACTACATAAGCAATTTGTATTGTAAAATCTACAAATAAAATTTGTATAATTTATTCCTATGTGAAAATGTATTTATACTACTTAAAAAAAATATTAATAATTACTTTTCGTATAAAAAACTAAATATATAGGTACTAATTAAATGTAATATACATAATATGTACCTAATCATTTTACATGTGTATAGTGATATACTGAAGAAGTGCTCCCTCCATAATTTCATTAGGATCTTTAAAATTATACACCAAACTATAGTCTATTAATTTATCAGATTTTAAATTATAACTATTTTTTTTTCTTAATAAAGAAAAGTAGAAAATGAATGAATTAATTATTAAAGATAATTTACGTGGTAAATTGTGAAAATTATAACTACCAGTAATATTTCACGTGCAATTTACATTTACCTAATTCTCATTATACATTTTTATGATTTCCAACATTTTAAATATACTTTTAAAAGTAAATTTTATAGATTGATGCAATCTACGAAGATGTATTTTCAATATTTCTATTTATATATTATTAACTGAGTTTTAGCAACATGGGTCAAGCTATTCTTTAAAATGAAATATATTATAATGATTGTTAAATGTCGTATTGTACTGACTAAAATACACGTTTTTTGTTTTATTAATTCATTTAACTTAAATTAAAAATTGAAATTTCGTGTTAATAAATGTTATATGCATATGTTTTAATAAAAATAAATTTTATGATTTTTTATGTCATTGATAATAAACTAAACAAAATAAAGAAATATGGACCCTTAGAATATAATTTTATCAACAATTAAACTTAGTTCGTTACGATATTATTGAACGAGCAAGAATCGTCTAGTATGTATAAATGTGTATATTTTATAAATACAAATATATTGCGTGAGTAATTTAAAGGTTGTGCTGTATTATGTATACTTTAGAACCACGAATACTAAAATGAAAAAAGTTTATACTTTCAGTAGTATATTTTGTTTTTCGATTTCAGTTGTAGGCTGTACACTTTATACGAGTACATTTAAATTGAAAAAAACTTTATTTTGTATTATAGCTGACTTATCAGTATATATTTTATGTATTGAAAATATTGATCACCAAAATTAATTATTAATTAATATTACTAACTATTCATGGAATATATATGTTAATAAAATATGTAATCCCTAAATATTGTGTCGTGAAATTACAATAAATAATGAATTTAATTATTATTTCATAAGTATAATTTCAACAGAAGTCTATTGCATATAGTTTAAATAAAAGACAAGTAATAAACTGCATTTATTATAACTTTTATTAATATTATTTTATATTTTTAGTATTAACAAATGAGATATTTAGATGAACACGTTTAAATATATTATAAACATAATAATGATTTAAATATTTATGTTTTGTTTAATCATAAGAAAAAAAATGTGCTAAACCAGATAAAGATTTATAAGTTAACTCTACTGTATATAAGTACCTATATTTAAAACTTTATGAAATTTAAATAAATAGAATATAATGATTTTTGTAGGTATAAAGAATCATCGCGTAAGATACAAAAAAATACGATTGTAAAGCGTAAGCCCACCAAAATCTCGTTATCCTCGATTCTTCATGTTATGAAATTCTATTAATCATATTTTATGTATGTCTTTCTTCACCAAAATTAAAATACATATTTTATTTTTGGTTTTTTCGACATCTTAACAATAATATTATTGTTATTACATTTTATTATATTAGTGAGAAGGAGACTAATATTTATTCACGTGAAATTTTCAAAGTAGTTTTTATTTTATATCATTATTTTTCTTTCCTCCCTTGGGTACAAATAAGACAATGCTTTTGGACTTAGGTGTAATGAAATTACACTTTTATTGGATTCAACTGACGTGGATATTAAAAGTAAATTTTGAAAATATTTTGTTTTCTCCACTGCTGTTTGAATTCCACAATAATAAAATTATGGTATTCTAATTATATTTTAAGAACGTTGTTTCTATAGATAATATCAAATCTAATAGATATGTTGTATTTTAAATTTTATTTTTGAATTAAAAGAGTATATTTACTATAAAATTAATATAAAAATAATAAGTCAATAAAATGTTTAAAAAAAGTAGTATGCCGTGCATTGTTCAAGTTTCTAGTCCGAAACACATAAATCTCAAATTTAATAAAACAATACTTTTATTTTGTTGTATTTAACTTAAATAATTAACATAAGTTAAAGTGCGTACTACAACGATTTTGGAGAGAAGTTGAAATTAAGTCTGGTTGGTGATGGTGAAATATGTTACTTAGCCGTTAACATATTCAGATATTTGGGAACTCAGATTGGTAGGTTATAGTCTGCCGAGTACAATTTAAAGAGAGTTGGAGATGTAATTGTGCCTTGGGGAACACCGGCTAAGATGTGAGAGATATTGGAGTATTATGTACCTGATGTGACAAAAAAATTTCACTCGTTTAGATAACAAACAGATTTAGAAGAGGTAAATTGAATGCGGTATAAAAGATAATAATTTGAAAATTGGAAGTGAGCCATCTTTTTTTTTAAGGCATTTGAGACCATTTTACCGTAGAACAAACCCTCCTCCATTCTTTTCTATTTTCGCTGCCCCTTCTAATCCATGCCTTCATAATCCACTTATCTTACATTTAGGAAATCTTTTTTGATTACATATTATCAGCCTTAGTCTACTCAGGGGTTTTTTGCTCCAAGAGTTTTCCTGGAGCACTCTTTAAACCATTTAATCTTGCTTTCTACATACGTGGCCTGACCATTCCAACTTACTTCACTTAATCTCGCTCACAATACCCAGTCTACTGAATATCTCCATTAGTACTTGGTTATGTCTTTTCCTCCATCCTAGAATATCTTGATTTAAATGGGTCCATATATTTTGCGCAGTACCTTCCTCTAAAAATCATGTAATCTATCCTACTCTGTATTTCACAACGTCCAACATTGTGAACATACATGATTATTGGTTGTAGGATTGTCAGATATAACTGAGTTTTAACCTCTTTTGAAAGGATTTTAGAGCTCAATAGTTTGCCTAATGCATAGATGCGTTTATTTCCCATTTTAATTCTTTGTAATTTCTATTTGACATTCATTCTTCTGTGTTACAATAGTGCCCGGATATTTGAATTCTTACACTTTTTTGAACTCAGCTCAAGCCTATTATTAGGTTTGTTTAGAAAATCTTCTTATATAATCGTTTTGTTATTTTTTATAATAATATTTTTACTGTTGGATTTTTCATATTTTTGCGATTATGGCATATTTATATCGTGACAAAGGTACCACTTCACTGYATAGCGTACGCGGTAATGTAGATGATCGAGATTGCAACAGCGTTTTAACGAAGTGACGGAAAACACGTGATTTAGGAACGGCTACTCGGTGCTCGCACAATTAATTAATTAATTAATTAATTAATCAAGACTTAATTTATTTTGCAACATTTATTTATTTTTAACTTTTGTTTGAATATAAATACTATATTATAATGAATTTAATAATATAATATTTATTCTAAGGTGAGATAATTAATATATGTATTCGAATTCTAAATCCGATTATGTTTTTGGTACTTATTAACTTCTCAAAATACATTGACCTAGTGAATAGAATATGAGAATTTCATGATAAGGTTATGTAATAGCTTTACGTAAATATGTAATGTATGCGTTACGGTTTAAAATCCGAAAATGAAAAAAGTTTACACTTAGGTCATATAATATATTTTGTTTCTGATACCAAAAGTATATTGTGAAAATCTAAATTGCAAAAAGTTTGTTTGTTACTGATTTGGTTTTTGACAATGATCGACGATATTCAGAATCAATATTTTAGAATTAAAACTTACATGTCTATTATATTGTAATAATTCCATACATTCTGAAATGCAGTATAAGTAGGTATAGTAAAATTTACTCATTAGGATTTTAATATTATAATACTTAATTTATTTAGAATTTTGTGTAATGGGGATTGTAACAGAAGGAAAATATTAAAACAATTCATTTTATAATTTAAGGKTGAAAGTAATTACTTACTTAAAATTATTTATAGTTTTATTTTTAAGAATGTGTACTTATCAAGCAGTAAAATACCGTATTAGTTTATGTTTAGTGTATTGATATGTACATATTTATAATCAATTTAAATTCTAGGAGCGATAAATGCATTGATAATACTCAATGATGTGAGTTTCATTCACTTATGTGTCTGTTATCATCTTTTTGGGTAGTAATAATTTTAGAGTTTTGAACTTTAAACGTGGTTTTTTAGCGTACTTTTTATTTAAATTATAATCGATGAAACAATTAAATATTTAATTGTGTACTTTTTTTAAAATCTTTTGCATCCTTTTATATCTTCTTGCACTAGTTAGAGTATAAAATACTTCGATTTTCTTATCTTTTTTTATTGTTTACATACAATTATGCATGATTTAGAGTAATAAATTCTCGTTAATATTAAAATACTCATATTATATTCAATCCTGATATTTAATTGAAATATAAATAAAAACCCTATAGCCCTCTTACCGAATAATTTCTATTATTTATTATTAAGATGGTACTACACATGCGGGTAAAATGTCCTTTAAAGAAAGTGCACTACTTATTCTTCAAAAAACTATAAAACACAATGTTACTGTAATTAACTATTTTTTTTTTTTACAGATTGGAAGCCTCAATGAATTTTATTTGTTTGAACATCAACACGTACACAAAAGATCAATTTACGTTGATGAAAAGTACCATTCTCGTCTAAAACTTGACCCACAGGTAATATTATAAACATTATTCATTATAATTTTTATGGACCTACCAAATTACTTACACTTATATCAGTTTAATATGTTGTTATTAGTGTGTAAAATAAGTATGATAAGTTATAATAATTTAGTCTAGAAACCTATAAACATGCTTTTAAAGTTATTTCCAACGCTTATATTTTTTATAATTTTAATATTGGGACTTTAGGAGTGACCAAGTAGATTCTTATTGAATAAACTTCGAATGTGGTAACATTTGGTTTATTTTTTTTATTATTGAAACCATATTAAATTCTTTTATTCAATTCATAAACTGTGTATGGACTAACAAGTTTAAAAGAAATTTACACATATATTTTTATTTATATATATACACCTACTCTAAAAGACAATTCATATGTCAGTTGAAATTCACAAAAAATAAATCGAAATCCCAAACAATAAAAACAATAAATCTATATCAAAAAGTAACATATTTTATTTTCCATAATGTGTACCTACAAAGAAAAAAAACTTCGCAAGAAAATAAATGAAAAAAATGTTGAGAAATTCAGTTTAAAAATATATGTATATATCTATAGTAATATCCTAAATTTGGAAACTTTAAGTTTTTCAATTATATTATCCAATTGGTATACCAAAAGAAACTTAATACAAATTCGAAAATTGTTTCTATAATAGTAAAAACAATTTTTGAAATGATTCATTAAAATAAATATAGTTCACACTGTTAACACGGATATTACTGACACACCTATTTATATTGTTAAAATTATTATATCATCGATTTAAAATGTTGTAATAATCATACTCGTATATTTAAAATTATGCTAGATGTTACACTAATCTCAACCAAAGTAAGAATAATTACTTTAGCCAGGTAAATATATTAAATACATTATGGATTGATTAAGTGGAACATGAATTTACTTGTATCAAATTATTTTTTGCGTGTATTTAAAAAAATAAAAATGTATTTCAAGTTTTTTTTTTTTAATTATCTGTAAATAACACTTATTTATTTTAAGCTATTTGAATCACAAACTGCCTAACTGTCTCTTCATACTTTATAATGGAACGTCGATATTATAACTTAATAACCACTAGCAAATATATGAAATACGATTATAATTTTTGTATACTGTATGGCATAGGTCAGGGATGGCAAACCTTTTGAACACTGCGAACAAGACTATCTTTGCTCAGAATCATTGTCCATTTACAATGATTTATTATTGAATTTGAATTGGAAAATCCATTAACATGATGAGAAATATTATTTTGACATCTACTACATAACAGAGTGACTTTTGGATTTTTTTTAACAAAAATAATAAAACAGAATATGTCATATATTATATGTATACACTATACATATTTTTTTCAATTTTTTCCAATGAAGTAAGTTGATTTAAAACAGTTATTCATATAATTCTCAAAACGTTAGAAAACCTGATTAAGTTCAGTGCTGTATAATAATTAAACTCATGACATTGGGAGGATATGCCGACGCATGAAGTCGCGAGTGGGGGAAAAAGAGAAAAAAATGGAAAATAAACGTTTATACAATTCCATACACTTGTTTTAATATTGTTGCCCGTCAAGGCGTGAAAATAATGACATTATAATCCCATTTCTTAAATTCTGTCGGGACATCCGGAAAACGGCTCCCGGAGTGGTTTTTGTGTGCACATAAGTCCGCGACAACGGGGATGAACAAGATTGATGACGGTGTTTCAGAGAAATGAAGGGAAAAACCAGTGAGCTTTTGTCTGCAGTCCGGTAACAACGTACAAACTAATGTAATTGGATGATCCCGGAATTCCCTGAAAATTCCGTTTTAGAATTTAATTTAAATATTAACACACGGCATTCATAAAGTCAAATGATACGAGAAGCTACAGGAGTTCGAAAAAATAGACTGGAGAATAGAATAAAAAAAGAAATAAATAAATTATGAAAAATAAAAATCCACCCCGGACATCCGGATTCGGGAAAATGTTTCTGTCCAATGACAATATTTACACCCATCTCCCTTTCTCTGCATCTCCTTTTTTCTCACTTTTTTTAAATATAGCTGGGTCCAGAGTTTCATGGGCGTTGAAATGTACTTGAAAATGTCAAGCTGGCCCAACAGTAACATTTTCAATTTACCTTAAATTAAAACTTTTAATTCTAATTGTATTATAGTCTTGTATTTTGTATAAATACTTATGAATTATGATCTTGAATTAAACGTAAAAAAAATAAAAAAATATTATAATAATCAAGTTAAATGATCTACAAATTGATTAATGTATGAAAAACAACATTAACTATTTATGAGCTATTTATAATATCTACAAATGTTTATTTTATTATTTTAAATCTGATTTATAATTGTAGTGTTTTTTTTTTTTTAAATTTGACAGTTTTTAAAATATCTCAAAAATAGTAAACATACGCTGTAAAAGAAATATCGATGAGAATGAGAAAGTGTAAAAATTTAAAATGTTATTTTATTTAGCTTTAGATTTTAATTTAATTTCAAACAAATAATCTTAAGCTTAACAAAATAATATGGACCGTGAATTAACATTTAATATCCGTCATAAATTTTTCTATATGAATGATTTAAAGTATCTTATTATCTTTAAATGTATATTGAAATTTGAATCTATAATGTTTACTATAATGATATTATGTTCAGAGGTAAGTGCATTATAATGGCTGTCTAGAATCTTTTATATTTTACCAATATATAAAGTAAGTTTATATTTTTATATTGTTAATTAATAATTATAAATTTGTATACCTATAGCCATATTTTAAAAGCTTAATATTATTAAATAAGGTAGGTTGAATTATTTTTTTCGAAAAAAAACATCACATAAAAAATATATGATTTATCATATATATATATTTTTTTTTTTTTTTGTAAGGAGAACCCGCGGCAACATAGGCCATTGGGTGTGGGGAGGTACGGTAGGGATTATTTTTGTATGTTTGTTTGTAGGTTTTTA